ATAGCTCATCCTGATTGCAGACTCAGTGCTAAAATTCTGCTGCCTTCATTAAGCCTCAAGTTGTCTGTTTTACTTCATAACTAAGATGGCTTGGCCATGTGCGCATGATCAGTTACCGCACTCATTTGGGAAATAATAGTTTATTAAGCTGTGATAATGCAACTGACTGATTATGTGTGCATAATCGAAGTCTGAACAATGGTGATGAATCATGCTTCCTTTACTGTGGAATTAATGTTCTGAGGCAGTGAGGGACGTAGGAAGGAAATAAGTTACTTGAGAGCAAAATAAGTTTTACAGCTTAATTAAAAATACCTACATGTTTTCTCTTCCTGTCATCTTCCCCTTCACCCCCCACAAATGTAGGCAATATAACAGTACATTTAAAGCCGCAAAATAGAATGCAAATCAAGAAACTCAAGCTGCTATTTTCATAGGAAATATAACTAGTTTTATAGGTATACGTTTCCTCATTTTCTTTGTAGTTCAGCTGTAAGCAAAGGCCTAGAGTAGGCAAGAACCAAGAGAAAAAATGTATCACTTGTTCTACATGCTCTTTTTCTATGCAATTTAGTTGCAGTGAAGAATAGTGACAAATTAGTTCTTCCTAAGAATCTAAGAGGCCAAGGTCTGTGCAGTTACTACATTATGAGGATGTGACCCTTCGTAAGGCAAGCTTGGCATCTTTTGACTTGTGGTGTGTCAGAAATGTTCAGGTGTCCTCCTATTGCCTTGAGCAAAGATGCAAAATTGAAAAAGTTGTTCTTTTGTAACATCTGTGAAAGTGAGAGGTAATCTGAAATGTATCCAACTGCAGCGTTTAGTTAAGCTTAAAAGTGAATTTGTGAAAATTTACAGCTGAGCCTCTGTAAAGTACGGAATGTCACCAAGTACTGGTCTTTAATTAAAGTAGACTCTAAATCCTTAGGGGTTGAACTGTGTCCTTCCTGTGCTTATGTCTTTGACTACACAGCACAGCAGATTTCCATTTTTAGGAGGGATGCATTCCTGAAGAATACTTAAATCTGTTGGGCCTCTTTATCCCACGCTCAGAAAATCAAATGCCACAAATCTTAAGTTAGTAGAGCAGTTTCCAAAGATCATGTTGAAGGCTTCCTCCGGAGTTGAGGCAATTGTATGAATTCTAGCTTCTGTTGTTTGTGCTTCTGTCTTAATAAAGAAGAAGCAGCCTAAAAAAAAAAAATTAAGACTAGCAATTGGCAACAGATTTTCCTAGCGTCAGTAGTGCTGAGGACATTGCCGTTCATGCCAACACTGATACCAAAATGTAAATTCTGCACCATCGAGGAACAAAAAGTAAGCATTGATGGTTTCCCTTTCCCTGTCTTGCACTCTTTTTGTCTCTAATACTAATATCACACTCATTTTATGTTAATACTGACATTTGACTTCATGTTAACTGTGAATCACAAGTCCTTCTTGATGCAAAATACATGTTCGCTCACCATCTTGGCGTCAATACTGCACTAAGTTGTATGGCTGTTTCTAGTGATAGGTTTCTTGACATTTCTTAGATGTTCTTCGTATCTTACTCTGTGCAAAGAGCATGAGAGATGAGAGATACAAGAGCAGTGGTCTTGCAGGAATACTGTAGCAAGCCATAAGGGATGAATGAATATTTGAGAATAAATTATTTCTTGTCATGTGAGCGGCAGTGTAACCTGTCATGGTTTCTCTGTGGAGTCCACCTAGCCTTGAGTCGTAGAGGAGATGCTTCTTACAAGCCTGGGCAAAAAGGAAGAGGGTCCTGATCAATGTTGACATTTTGGGCCAGAGCATCTTCACCAGACCTGAAGGAGTCTCTCACAGAGGGAAGGGAGGTGGTCTGAAAAATCCTCCATTTACTTTCTCTGCCTCAAGAATTATATTTGATGACCATAGATAACGACCAGGATCAGGTATTCTCCCTAAATATCATCTCCTCTTGCCTTTTTTGGTAACAGGATATTAGTCTGGGTCTAACCCAACAGGGCATTTCTTATGTTCTTATTAGGGGAATAAACATACAGTATAGGGGCAGACAGGAGATAGAGAGGAATAAATTCTAAATCATAACTTCAGACCAAAAAGAGTGATTTTTCTATGTAGTTGCCTTGTAAATTCAGTCTAGGTTTGAATTTTTTTTTTTCTTGCTTGTGTATTTAACCTACCGTGGATGTTGCGTGACCCATTTTCTTTTCCTGCTTTATTTGCATGAGTTCTTTGTATTTTCTTTGCAAGTTGAGTCACAAAATTTGTGGTACTGTGTAATCCAGTTATTAAAACTTAACTAACTTTTCTTTTCTGAAAAATACAAAAGACAGAGTCGAGGCTATCTCTGTCTATTGTCATCCTGGTGGACTCTTCAGAGATTAAGACCAAAAGCCTAAACATGAATGTAATCAGATAATGCTGCCTGCATCTTAGGGGGTTGAGCAATTTTTTCAGTTTAGTTTAGTTTTTCAGAGCAAAACTACACAAAATTGTATTGTAAACCCTTAATGCTTACAGCTATATATATATGTTAATGCCACCATTGATACCTACTGTAACCAGAAGTATCACATGAGTGGCACCTTATGGTCTTATCTAATGGTCTACATACCTGATATCATCTGATCTTGACCAGTAACTCTGTACCTCAAGCCCAGTACTTCTGGGTGAACAAGGGCACCGTGCCCCACTTATGGCTCTGTTGTCTGCAGGTAGCCCTCCAGGACAAGTAATCCGTAATGGCTACCTTCTTTCCTCCCTCTTCCCCTGGTCTTCGTTAGGTCACATTGTAGGGGAGCAACCATGATGTACATCTTCCTGTGTCAGTAAAATAATCTATGTTGCCTGCCTAGCTCAAAGAGTGGACATGAAATATGCATCTGAGAAACGTTCTGTGCAGCTTAGGGAACTCAAACTGAGTCAGTAGCTTATCTAAATTAGTATCTTACTTTGGGTGTTAGTCTGCCTTCCCCGTCTAGTCATTTTATCTTACATATTTGTCTGCTGCATTAAGCAGACTTGTGCTACCAGAAGTATATTTTGAAGTGTACTTAAAAGATGCAACTGTGTTATTCATAAAAAGTTTTCAAAATCTTTTGATATGGAACTGAATACCTTAGCATATTTTTATTGACCCCCCCAAAATATTTTTTTTTAATTTCACTTAAGAGCAATGTTTTTTTTCCTGGCAGTGTCCTTTTATTTTCTTTTTCTCTCTAGCATAAAGAAAGGATTTCAGTATTTTAGAGCTGAAAAAATTTGCAAACTTAGCATTGCCATGCACAGGGGCAATCCTCAGTTTTGGATTTAGAGTAAATGGTAACAGAAAGAGAAATGTTGCATGTTGTAACAAGCTTGTGGTCAAAACATGAATTCTTCAGCCTTTGACTTCAGAAGGAATTTTGTCTGAGTAAACCTTGGCTATCAATTTAATTATTTTTGCTGTGGTGCCCACTCTTCCTCTTCTGTCAGCTCTCAGGGTATATGTGCATTTCAGGCTGTTGCGTAGAGAAGCTGTCTTTGGATTTCAGAAGTGATCTAATCACAGAACTCCACACATACAAGGTTCGCGACAGGAGATTTTCTGTAGGGATAGGAGTGAGTGAATGCCTAGGTAATAATCTTCATCAAATATAGGGCTTACATTTGTTGGAGGTGTATTTTTTTCTGTCCAGGGTTAAGACCTCATCTAGGTTCATGTCTGTCCTCTACCTGATTTACAGGAATTTGAATCTGAAGTTCCTGCTGCTCAGGAGGGACATTATGAGGTTATACTATTCTGGGGAGAGAGGTGTCTCCTGTTAAAATCCTGATTTGCTTAAAATACTTTCACATTCTTTGGAGCATAGAGTAAAATTAAGGGTTAGGGTTAACCCTAAATTGAGAGATTAACAGTAAACTATATAGTTATTCTTGTTTAGTGTGTCTGATTCAGTGTGTATTTTGTATTTAAACAAACCAAAACAACTTTGGCAGAATTTGACTTCATTATTGTATTGACTAGTTCAGTTCCTTGAGAGCTGGCAGATTCTGTTCCAAAACAAGCACAGACGGGATTGAAACGTGTATCATCACTAGAGTGTTCTCACCACTGGGCTTTTAGGCATAAATGTAGGATGCAACTATTTCCATACTGCTTTTGTGAATCTCGTTATAAATCTAGTTTAAGAAAATTGAACAGTTTACTTAAAAAATGTAGAAACAAGCAATGCCCACAATTCCACTCAAACATATTATTGTAGGATGCTGGCACCTGAGTTCATAAATTTCAGGTTGATCAGAATTGTACCTTTAGCAAAAAAATTGTCCAGACCTATTTACAGATTGTACCTTCAGCTTAAGCCTTTTACTTTAGAAGTTTAAAACTCTCTGGAAAATGTACAGCAGAACTAAAAATTATAAATTCAGTAATGTTTTTAAATGTTAAAATGTTAATTTATTAATCAAGAAACATTTTAATATTAAAGAATCTCAGAAAACAGCCTTTTGAGATTTACAAACAAGTATTGAGATCCTTTTTGCCAAGATTCTACATGTCTTTTTCTTTTTGAACTGCTTGGCTTGATCTGGATGAGTTCTTTTAAGAGAGTGAAATGTTGTATAATGCTTGCATTAAACTGTAAATTAAGAAGTATATGAATGAATGGAAATCAGGGTTGTCAGAAAGCAAGTATTCCTTTATTGTAAATTAATATCCATTAAGTAGAGTAATCTCCGCCTGTGATTCATTTTGTGCGTGGGGACCAAACAAGGTTATATTCGTGTGTACAAATGCATCTCCTTTTGAAGTCTGTATATTTACAATAGCTCCATGCTACTTTTGTCATCTGCTACTTTTTTAAGCTAATACCAAAAATATATTAAAATAAACCAAAGTTAGTGTTGTATTTACGTAAGACTGAAATTAATTTATAATTTCAACTGATTGTGTTACAGAAGGAGACTATAGCTGTAAACATAAAAAAATATCATAGAGTATATTAGACACTGTTTTCTGTCTTCTACAGATTTCCTGTTCTTCAAGTCCAACTGTAACATCAAGTTCTGGTAGCAGTAGTTCTTTATCACCCCTTGGACCTCTTTGTAGACAGAGATCATTAGCAAATGGCGTTCTGTGTTCTGAGTCTAGCACATCAGGTGTTTCTTCACCAACATCTAGCTATCCAAAAGCACCAGGCTTTGAACGAGAAGATCAGGTATGTGAATAATATGGGTCTAGAAGTACAAATGCAATCTTAAGTTAAATTAGATTCAGCAGAAAATGTTGTCTGCCTCGTGTATCAGCTCGCGTATCAGCACTGATTTTTGATAATTTAGAACACAGAGTTTGGAACCCTCTTCTTTAGAGACCTAAACTGCATCAAATTAGTTTACAGTTGTCACAGGCCAAGAACACTCATGCAAACAGTCACTGCAGCTCAGCTGACATGCAGTTAATTCTAACTTTGCAGAAATGTTGTGATTGTCATTTTAAGCCCATGTTGCCAAGAACAGAGCAAGATAACAATGGGAAAAAAAAAAGATAGCTAGACTTGGTAGGATTCAGTTTTAATTATTGTTGAAAATTGATGGTGAAAAGATGCATTAATTTCTGGCTGTTGATACTATTTATGAGTTCCAATCTTTGATTAATTTCAGTCTGTTTCTTCTCCCACCTGCAGCTGCCTCTCCTTGGACAAGTTCATTGTTGAGACAGGCATAGATGATAAAATGTAACAGGCCTCTTGAGAAAGAGAGAGATATCTGTAGCATTAGCAATGAGAGGAGAGTGGTTGAAATTGAAGTTGGTGAGGAGTTATAATCCTTTAGTCAGGGGGTGGGGAGAAAACAGGCAATGCTAGAGACAGTTGGGAGAAGGGAAGACTGGTATTTTTCAGGGGTATGAAACAGCTCTGTTGGCCTGCGAGAAAAACACTGAAAGCTAATTTTTTCTCGCTCTATTATAATACTGGTTACACTTTAAATTATCAGAAAGGAACTGCTTAAAAAAAGATGCTCCAATGGCACATTTAAATAAGCTGCAGCCAAGCTGATAAGCCTTCTTGCAAACCTGTGACTTTTCAGAATTGATTTCTCTAACCTGAGATGCACAGAGAAGCGCAGAAGTAAAAGACGGAAGAAGAATGAAAAGAAGGAAAGTGAGTTTTGTAAATGGTAACTTGTTGTAGGTGATGGTGAGATCGTTACTCTAGAGTAAAGTTCTCCAGGCAGGATTGCTTTTTTACATGTAGATGTTCAGACAGACTATAGGTTAGAGAGCTGGTCATTGTGACAGGAAAGATTTCCATCTCCCAATATAAGGATCAAGTGATCATTGATCAAATGTCATGGAAGCAAGGCAGTTACAGTATCAAATGGCTGCTTTCTGGACATGAGGCAGCAATAATTGAGAAATTATGTAACCATTGGTGAAGATGTATTTTGCTGTTTTGATCACAATTAGTGAGTAATGTACTCTCAGCAGCAAAAACATCATGTGCCTGCCTTTTAGTGGCCACATTGAACCTGTCTAGAGAGAAAGCAGTGATGGACTTTGTAATTGATAAAGTATCTAGAGTGGTGGGAGGCATATAAAGAGGAGGAGAGTTGTTACTCCTAGGGAGCTTTCAGTGCAAGACAGATTAGGAATCTCCCAAAGGAAACAAGGAACAGACACAACAAGACTGCTCAGAGGCAGCAGAAAGAACCATTTTTCCTAAGGAGACAGAGAGCACCTTGCAGAGTTTACTGCAATTCAGGAAGTCACTGAAAATTACTGGCCTGAAAAGAACAGAGATCCTTTGATCCTGCTGTGCAAGAACACAGTGGGCAAAGAGAAATTGCTTAGAATTCCTTTTTATTTAAGTATGTCTCACTTGTTTCAAAAGTTACCTTATTATAAAATGGTGTTCAAAGAAAATCTGCCCTTATATTTGAATTTTTTTTGTGTTGTTATTTGTAGCATGATCACTTTAAGGGAAAATCTAGGCAATTCCACTCAAACTTTTGACTACCTCAGGCTTCTATCCCACCAGCCTCTTTTCTCTTTCTCAGTATTCCCCAGCTGGTGAGCATCTGGGACATGTTACTTCTGTCACAGCATAATGCTAACATGGCTACTCAATTTTTGGACCAGAAATAACTTGCATGTGCTCAATTATGCATGTAAGAGGAACAATTGCAACTGCTGTTCCTTTTCATGTAGATTTACTCTATGATCATTAAAATGTAATTCTCCACATGGGACTGCAGTGAGGGAAATGAAGTCAGCCTGTTGAAGATATCATTACAGAGATGCCACTGACCCTTCATAAACTAATAATATATTTTTTACAGGAATGACTCATTAAGTTCATATATTACAGCGATTTTTCTTCTCTCAGGCAAAGCATCGAAGCTTCCCAGCTGAGAATCAGCAGAAAATAAATGAACAAGACAACAAGCAGGTATTGCCAAAAGCTAAACACTGTAAATATTTTGCCCTTTTTGATAATTTATTAATGCAGTTTCAAAGTTATGTGGCGCTTTACAACATAGCGTAAGGAAAATTTGTGCCCAGTGACAGGACAAGAGGCAACAGGCACAAACTGAAACACAGGAGGTTCCATCTAAACGTATGGAAGTACTTTTTTACTGTGCGTGTGAGACTGAGCATTAGAATAGGTTGCCCAGAGAGGTTGTGGAGTCTCCCTCCTTGGAGTTACGCAAAAGCTGTCTAGACATGGTCCTGGGCAGCTGGCTCTAGGTTCTGTGAAAATGTACAATAGATGTGTGCTGCAGGGAGTACCAGGGATGAGAAGAATATGAGGCAATTTGAGGATGCTTTTGACAATAGCAAGTCCATGGCAGAGTTTTCACAGTGAAATTTTGGATTAACTTGATTTGGGATGGATTGATAAAATTTAAGGAAGGCCAGAAGGAAGATGATGATACAGTTGTTCAAGCTTCAGATGCTCAAAACTAGAAAAATAGTTAAAGTGACAGGGAAGAGGGCATAGATTTGACCCATCATGAAGCTAAATCCATCAGGTGTTAGAGGTCATTCTATATATGCAAAGGAGCTTAAAACTGCCAGCTTTGCACTGCTAGAGCAAGAACCCTGATGCTTTGTTAATGACAATGATCAAGATAAATGAGAACCGAAGTTTTACCATTTGCCATTCATGCAGCCACACAGGAGTGTATAATCTAAAGTGGAGGATTAAAATGTATCTTATATTTAAAAAGCAGGAGGAGGGGTACAGAGTAAATAAGGAGAGAAAACACAAGATAGTTAGAGGTGGATCCCATGAGTTCTGTATAGAAGAGTGATAGCACATGAACCAGTTTAAAAGTATACATGGGTTTTTTTTCCCTACACGTCTATAAATTAGTGAGAGTGGCAGCCTTGGAAATTCTTTTAATTTTTTCTGATTTGCCCTAAAAAGTAGTTTTTACATGACTTTCTACCACTATTAATGTTTGTAACAGAGTAAATAGGACATACCCAGTTCAACATCTTTATCAATGACCTGGTGGGGGAATCAAGTTTGCAGATGACATGAAATTGGCAGGACCAGTCAATAGGGCTGGGCTGCCATTCAGAGAGACGTAGACAGACTAGAGGATCTAGATCTTTATGAAATTCATTAAGGGCAAGTGCGAAGTCCTGCACCTGAGAGGCAAGAACCTCTTGCAACAATATAGGCTGAGAACAAGAACTAACTGTCTGGGAAGCAGCTCTGCGGAAAAGGACCTGAGGGTCTTTGTAGACAGCAAGCTGAATGTGAGCCAACAGTGTGCTCTGACAGCAAAGAAGGCCCAACGTTACCCCAGGCTGTATTAACAGGAGCATGAAATAGATCAACGGAAGGGGTTACCCTTCTGCTTAGCACTTGTTAGACCACATCTAGAATACTGCATCTGGTTTTGGGCTCACAGTACTGGGATTACATCAGTAAACTAGTGCAAGCTTAGCACATGGCTGCCAAGATGGTCAGGGGACTGGAGCACTTGCCAGAAGGCTTCAGGAGGACCTAGTAGCAGCCTCCCAATACCTAGGAGGAGGTCGTCAAGAAGAAGGAGCCAGCCTGTTCGCAGTGGTGCACAGTGGGTGGTGAAGAGATAACAGGCATAAGTTGAAACAAGAAGCTAAGACTGGGTATAAGGAAAAATTTTTTTCATCATGGGGAGAGTCAAGCAGTGGTTGCTAAGTGTGGTTGTGCAGTCTCCATCCTTGGAGGTTTTCAAGACCAGACTGGCTAAAAGACTGAGTAACCTGGTCTGGCTTCATAGCTGACCTAGCTCTGATCAGGAGGTTGGACTAGATGACCTCCTGAAGTTCCTTCCAACCTGAATTTTCCTATTACCCGGTGATCCTAACAATAATTAGCGAGTTGTTTTAATTCTCTTCTTTTTAAAAAAAAAGTTATTTAATCTCCATTTAAATAGTGCAGAATGTATGAAATTCTGCTATGTAATTATAAAGCTGTTGACATCTTTTTTTTAATAAACTTTCTATCCTGTCTCGTTTCTGTTTATTTTGTCTCTCTGTTCTGTTTAGATATCCCCCAGAACTGAGTTTTGAAGTCACAGATAGGGTCAGTCTTGGTCTGTCAAAACAGAAGAAGGAAAGGAATCTTTGAGCTGCACCTGTAGGTATAGGGTGGGACAAGAAGCTTGCTGTTTGTAAATATATTAGGGAGGAAAAAGGACTAAATAGTCTAGTAGATGTAGGTGTTTATGCTGGGGAGAAAGAGAACTAACTGAAGAAATCCATCAGCTTTGTGTGGGTGTGTGAAATTTCTTCACTCCCTCTCACCAAGAGGCCTCAGCTTAAGGTGGGGCAGGCCAAAAGGGGATATATTTTGAGTCTGATAATTTTTCAGTAATACAAAAAGCCTGCATTGTCTCTCCTACTTGTGTTGACTTTTATATCATGTTTCTCCAATGACAGGGATCATGATCAGGCTTATAACCTAAGAATCCTATGCCTTGTCATTTCTTCATTCTACTTTTTTAATTATAAAGCTGTTCTTTATGGTTTAATATGTATTGCCAGTTCAGAGATTACTTTTTTTTTCAGCTCAAACATTTATGAAAACAGAAAGCAGCAAAGAAATGTTCCATTTAACATGTTGCATTGGGATGTTAGAGAATGTGTTGTGAATTCACTCACTGTAAATTACAATATTGGAACAAAGTTTGGAAAAGCATATTATAGAATCATAGAATAAGTTAAGCTTGGAAGGGACCTCTGTTGAAGTTCAACAAGTCTGAGCACAAGGTCAGAGCGCCAGGGTCAGGACAGTCCCCAGTATCAGGACAGACTGGATGCTGAATGGATTGAGAGCAGCACTGCAGAGGAGGACTTGGGTATACAGGTGGGTGAAAACCTGGATATGAGCCAGCAGCGTGCACTTGCAACCCAGAAAGCTAATTATCCGGGGCTGCATCAAAAGAAGCATGGCCAGCAGGTCGAGGGAGGTGATTCTCCTCCTCTACTCCACTCTCATGAGACCCCACCTGGAGCACTGTGTCCAGCTCTGGGGTTCCCAGTACAAGACAGACGTGGACCTGTTAGAGTGGGCCCAGAGGAGGGACATAAAAATGATCAGTGAGAGAGAGGGCTGGAACACCTCTGCTATGAAGAAAGGCTGAGAAAGTTGGGATTTTTTGGCCTGGAGAAGAGAAGGCTCCGGGGAGATGTTACTGCGGTCTTCCCATACTTAAAAGGGGCTTATAAGAAAGACGGAGAAAGACTTTTTACGAGGGCCCGTACTGACAGGACAAGGGGCAGTGTTTTTAAACTGAAAGAGGGTAGATTTAGATTGGATATAATGGTGAAATTCTTTACTATGAGGGTGGTGTGACACTGGAACAGGTTGCCCAGAGAAATTGTGGGTGCCCCGTCCCTGGAAGTGTTCATGGTTGGGTTGGGTGGGGCTTTGAGCATCATTTCAAGCATTTCATCTAGTGAAAGATGTCCCCGTCCATGGCAGACGGGTTGGACTAGATGATCTTTAAAGGTCCTTTCCAAGCCAAACCATTCGGTGATTCTCTGGAGGTCTGTAGTCCATCTGTCCCCTTGTCAAAGTGGGGTCAGCTAGAGCAGGTTGCCCAGTGCCTTGTCTAGTAGTGTTTTGAGTATCTCCAAAAATGAAGACTCCACAGCCTCTTTGGGCAACATGTTCCAGTGTTTGGCCACCATCGCAGTAAAAAATTTTTTGTGTCTAAGTGAAACTCTGTATTTTAGTTTGTGCCCATTTTGAAAGAAAAAATTATTCATTCTCATGGTCATTATCAGCCTCTAATCTTGCATTATATCTAGCTTTGAAATAGAAATTTTCTGTGGTATTGGTAGAAATCAGTAGAGTAGATACTGTACAATCACTGCTCGTCACACAGAAGGCAATGGGAGGATGTGTGGATTGATTCAGTCACACTTAAATGTTGTTTTCATTAACTAAAAGATTGGAGGGAATAAATAAACAATAAAAAGAATTAATATACTGGAAACTCTGCACCAAGTCCCCGTAGACTTTGTGAAGTTATTTTCCAGTTTAGAGTGTTACATGGTTACTTTTGTTTGCATTTCTTACATTTTATAATTTAGATGTGTGATTTGTATGAAAAAAAAGTTCAGCTAGAAAGAAGTGGCACAGGTACAGGTCATTATATAATGTGATACGTGTGCAGTGCAGTCATGTTTCTCAGCTATCTAAACCAAAGGTTAGTTTATGCACCAATTGCATTTAGATTAAATGAGAAAATTTGCAGATCAAAAAAATAATATAGAATATAATTTGCGTACGAATGCATAATGAAATGGTACAATTCCTCAATACATATTTTCCTTTTGAAAAGAGGCATCAGACTTCAGCTAACTAATTATGTTTGTAGAGCTTATTTGCAAGTATTTAAACACCTTTTTTCTGAAAGCAGAATTCCCTCGTATGGTAGTGGTGTCCAGCTACATTGGAGAAATGCACTTGCTGGTAAATGATATCAGTCCAGCTACACTGGAGAAATGCACTTGCTGGTAAATGATATGGAAAATTATCCTAATCTATTCATTCAGAGGGTTCTTCTGGATTTCTTTCTGTTTGAATTAAAATAACTACTTTAAAAAATACATTCTGTTTATTTTATATGTTCCTACATACATCTGTGTAAGTGTGTTTGTGTGTGTATACACATGTTGTTTGGGTTTTTTTTAACAGAACCATCTCAGTGTTTTTTCAGCGGTTAACCCACTTGCTTCAAGTATAACTTCCAGTCTGGCCTCCAGTGTTGGATCAGATAGTTCATCTCCTACAACTGTCTCTGCTATCAGTGCCAAAGCTCTCCCATTCTATTCTGGCAGTAACACAGTTGAATCGGTAATAGGTAAGTCTTAACATTTAATCTCCAATTGTACATGTTTTGTTGCATTATTCAAGTTCTTCTTGTTTCAGCATAGGTTCAAAGAGCTTATTGGTAATGACAGTAATGTTGTACACACCTGCTTTATTATATGTAATTAAAAGCAATATCTGAAATTTAATTTAATTTTTTTCACCCAAAATCATTATTTTTCACAAGGTCTCCAATGTGAGCGTAGGAATGAGTGAATGGGATATTTAAACTGGAATTTTGGCATTGATATTGGCCAGTGATTAAAAAAAAATGTGTAAAACCTTCGTAATGCCACTCACTGTATTTCTAGAAGTAGAAGTACTGTATCCTCAACTTTTGTTGGTGGGCTGATGAGAGTTGACTTTTTTTTTTTAACGTTACCATAGCAGGTGCAATTACAGGTCTTACAATGTTCATATGAAAATGGGAGTTTTTTCTTTGGCTGACTGCATATTCTCCAGTCTGGTTATTTATATCTTCAAGGACAAAATCTTTTGTTCACACTACGTGGACCAGATTTGAAAGGACACAAAGAGGAGGAGCCCTTGTTTTCAGGGTGCACAAGACAGATTCTGGGAATTACTCACTTCCAAAATTTCTGTCATTAGCCCGGAGCCTTTCTCATGCTTCCAACCAGCTAAGCTGTTTATGTGGAAAATGGTAAAAGGAGATAAATACTTCAATAATAATTAGACACTGGAAACTTCAAAATTGGTCATGCTACTCCTGCTATGGTCTCACAGGCGCCGGATAGAGAGGAATAATCACTTCCCTCAACCTGCTGGCTACACTTTTACTAATGCAGGCCAGTATGCTGTTAGCTTTTATTGCCACAGAACATGCTGAATCTGTCGTTCATCAGAATTCCTAGATCTTTTTCTGCAGTGCTGCTTTCTGATCATTTGGCCCCCAGCCTGTACTGCTGCAAGGGATTATTCTGTCCCAGGTGCAGCATTCTTGTATTTGCCTTCGTTGCACTTCATGAGGTTTCCGTCAGTCCTGTTCTCCAGGCTTTTGAGATCCCTCTAAATGGCAGTCCTGCCATCAAGTGTATCAGCTGCTCCCCAGTCCTGGTTTCAGCAGGGATAAAGTTAATTTCCTTCTTAGTAGCTGGTACACTGCTGTGTTTTGGATTTAGGACTAGAACAAAGTTGATAACACACCAGTGTTTTAGTTGTTGCTAGGTAGTGCTTACACTAGTCAAGGACTTTTCAGCTTCCCATGCTCTGCTGACTGGGAGGGCTGCAGGTGCACGGGGGTCTGGGAGGGGGGCACAGCCAGGACAGCTGACCCCAACTGGCCAAAGGGACCTGGTTTCAAGGGATAGAGTTAATTTCCTTCTTAGTAGCTGGTACACTGCTGTGTTTTGGATTTAGGACACTAACAAAGTTGATAACACACCAGTGTTTTAGTTGTTGCTCGGTAGTGTTGTTTTGCTTTGCTTGCGTGCACAGCTTTTGCTTTACCTATTAAACTGTCTTTATCTCAACCCACGAGTTTTCTCACTTTTACCCTTCCGATTCTCTCCCCCATCCCACTGGGGGGGAGTGAGTGAGCAGCTGTGTGGTGCTTAGTTGCCGGCTGAGGTTAAACCACAACATCCCCTTAATTTAGTGTTATCCACAAACTCATTGAAATTTGTGGCACTTTTACACAAAATATGGTTTATTCAGGAGGCTGTGGCAGGCAATGTTGTGATTTGAAAGATGCTGTATTTCATATTCTGTGGTGTAAGTCACATGATCAGGGAGTTGCTGTGATTAGCTGGTCTACTTGAAGCTTTCTGTATTTAAATTGATGTGTAGCAGCGACCAGGAGACTGCAGACAGTGAGTCAGCACTTCGGCATGGTAAGTTAGGCGTTTGCTCTTTTAATTTTTTTAGGAAAGAAATCTATGCAGAATATTAAATGATGGATCTTTTTCTGCAGTCTCACAAGTGCATAGCTTGCTTTCCTTAAAGGTTTGTTTGATGATCTGTGTGTTAAAGCAGAAAATAAATTTTAAATTATTTTTAAATTTCAGAATTAGAATGAGCAGAATTTTAGTTTTTATTCTATGCAAGTAATATAATTTCATCAGCTTACGGTTCATATTTTAAGATATACTATGGAATTAAATCACATTTTTGCCAAGATAAACATTGCTTCTGGAATAAGTGGAGGCTAGTTGGCTGTAACAAGTTACTCATATAACAATAAAAACCACAGTCTAATTTCTGTATACTAGATGTCATGCTAATTCAGTATAATTTTTAAATCGTGATATACTGAACAAGCGTTGCAAAGTCATTTAAACAGTGATATGCTATGTTTCCCATGTCCCAGTGTGATTATATTATTGAGCATGAGACTCTTCCTCTGAGTTAGAATATGCCTTTAGATATTTTTCTAAAACAGTTTTCAGTATGCTATGTTTGTTAACAGAATATGAATCATAAAATACGTCTCATGTATGTATAAGTTAGTGTACTTTATGGTAACTGCGTAGATTTTGGTTTATTTCCTTAAAAGAATTTCATATATATATAAATACTTTTTCCAGAGTTGCTCTTCGTGGATATACGGGATGGCATTGAAAATAAAGTGCTGCACGTAATCTGAATAGAGCAGAAAATTAAGACGTTATTGTAGAACAGAAAATAAATACATAGTGTTCTTGTAGGAAGTGGTGGATTGAAGAATCATAGAAAAAAGGGATAGCAAAAGAGCTGCAGCAAGGGAAGGGACTAGGTGATTATGGGAAAATGGGATGAATGGGTTTGGTAGAGGATTAGGGGAAATACAGGAGAGTTACATTAGCAAGGACTGAGGAAGCTTTGTCAGACAGTGGGGTCTGTAGCCTATTCTGTGGCCCTTTATCTTGATCTCACAGGGAGCTCCGAGCCCTGTCTGTCTGCTCCCTGAGTAATAGTCCCTAAGAGCTGGGGAAGAGAAGGGTGCAGGGGTGCTGGGAATAAGGACACCAATCAGATGGAACTAGTATTTAGCATTGAGGCTTGGACAATATGTTGAAAACTAAGGAATGATGGAGTGGAAGAAGGTATATTGTTGCAGTCTACTCCTGTCAAGGGAGATTGCTTGAGTTGTCTGGTTTTGTTCTAGTAAAAAACGAAAGAAGCATAATCTGAGAACATAAAAGCTGCAGGGTGTTTGAAGAGTTAGAATATGCCTTTAGATATTTTTCCTAAAACAGTTTCAGTATGCTATGTTTGTTAACAGAATATGAATCATAAAATACGTCTCATGTATGTATAAGTTAGTGTACTTTATGGTAACTGCGTAGATTTTGGTTTATTTCCTTAAAAGAATTTCATATATATATAAATACTTTTTCCAGAGTTGCTCTTCGTGGATATACGGGATGGCATTGAAAATAAAGTGCTGCACGTAATCTGAATAGAGCAGAAAATTAAGACGTTATTGTAGAACAGAAAATAAATACATAGTGTTCTTGTAGGAAGTGGTGGATTGAAGAATCATAGAAAAAAGGGATAGCAAAAGAGCTGCAGCAAGGGAAGGGACTAGGTGATTATGGGAAAATGGGATGAATGGGTTTGGTAGAGGATTAGGGGAAATACAGGAGAGTTACATTAGCAAGGACTGAGGAAGCTTTGTCAGACAGTGGGGTCTGTAGCCTATTCTGTGGCCCTTTATCTTGATCTCACAGGGAGCTCCGAGCCCTGTCTGTCTGCTCCCTGAGTAATAGTCCCTAAGAGCTGGGGAAGAGAAGGGTGCAGGGGTGCTGGGAATAAGGACACCAATCAGATGGAACTAGTATTTAGCATTGAGGCTTGGACAATATGTTGAAAACTAAGGAATGATGGAGTGGAAGAAGGTATATTGTTGCAGTCTACTCCTGTCAAGGGAGATTGCTTGAGTTGTCTGGTTTTGTTCTAGTAAAAAACGAAAGAAGCATAATCTGAGAACATAAAAGCTGCAGGGTGTTTGAAGTCCTCCTGAAAATTTAAAAAAAAAAAAAAAAAAAAAAAAAAAAAAAAAAAAAAAAAAAAAAAAAAAAAAAAAAAAAAAAAAAAAAAAAAAAAAAAAAAAAAAAAAAAAAAAAAAAAAAAAAAAAAAAAAAAAAAAAAAAAAAAAAAAAAAAAAAAAAAAAAAAAAAAAAAAAAAAAAAAAAAAAAAAAAAAAAAAAAAAAAAAAAAAAAAAAAAAAAAAAAAAAAAAAAAAAAAAAAAAAAAAAAAAAAAAAAAAAAAAAAAGGAGAAATTAGATAAGCAAAGTGTCAAAGGAGACAGATTTGGAGAGGAATAAATAGGGAATGGGCAGCAGTGAAGGGAAGTGACTCAAGTGATAGTAGGGAGGAGGTGGAACCTTAACATTAGGGGACGTCTGCCAGCCTGACACTCCACCCTGTTGTCTGTGTTAGGTTCTGGGTAGACCTCCCCCTGGGAATGTTTTGATTGCTTCCATTGCTTTCTATTGGATACTCAAGCATGGGGATTTTGTCTATCTGGGAGATTTGCCATTCAAGGAAAATTGGTGTCTCTCCATTTGCTTCCCATATATGTTGTGATCTTAAGATGCTGTCTGTGTTCTCTCCCTGCACTCCACTGACTTTCCACCATGTGAGGTGGAATCTGAGAGAGCCGGAAGGTATCAGAAATTAAGCTTCGAAAATCTGCATAATAAACAGTAAGGAGACATGTCAGTCCTTTTTGTGGTAGGGGAGGACGAGTGTGGCAGAATGAGTTAAGGCCTCACATGAAGAGAAACATGACAGGTTAGTGATTTAGTAAGGGTGCAGGCTTAGATTTGATCTACTATTTGGGCAGTATGATTTATGTCAGCCTCATTGTGTTTTTTTCCTGCTTGTCATACTTGCGTAGCAACATACTGAGCCAGACGCTGCAAATAACTTCAAATATTAATAACATCTGGGTGACGTGGGGAATTGCAAGAGCTTGAAAAAAATAGTGTTTCCCTGTTTAAAGATAATGACGGTGCTAATGATGGGATTTTAAAGCCTCTCTTTTCATGATTGAGAGAATTTTGAATTTTTTGAAAGAAAGTGGAACAGCTTCACTTGGTGAAAGTGAGAGGGATCTCTCCCAGAATATCCTGCAGCGTAATGATGAGAGGTTTGCTCTCACAGGTGTATGGCGTTTTTGCACAAAGGACGTTGAGACAAATTCACGTGTGAAAATTTATTAGTGGGTTGCATAGCTGATGGCACATAATGGTGAAAATTATTTCCAGATAAATATAGAAACAAAGAAAGGAGAGATAGAAGAAAGGGAAGGAGAAAACTGTCCCAGCAGCCAGGTGGGAAAAGAAGGGACAGGCAGGGCAGACCGAGCATCCTCTCCAGTGCAGCGGCTGGTTCTCTCCCACATAATACTTTTCCCATATTAACTGCATTAACTATAGTTTTTCATCAAGACTGTCCCAGACTCCTTATGGGCTCTTCCTGCTTATGATGTTATTAGTGTTAATTGGGCACACTTTGGTTAGTGGATGGTGCTACATGCTAATTGGTTGTTGAGCTGTGTCCAAAGATGATATTGGATCCCACTAATGTAAATCAAAAGCTACAATCAGGAGTAGGAGAAGAGGAGAAAGGAAGCATGATTCTCACACCAGTGGCAGTCACTTCCCCTGAGAACCTACCATAACAGAGCTGTGAGGGTTGGCAGGTGCCAGATGGTGAGCATAACAAGATGGTGAGCATGAGAACAAGAAAGGAAACATACTGCCCCAGAAACTCTGGAAGGCACTACCGGAGCAGCTGGGTGAAAGGGCAAGATAGGCAGGCTACAGTGTTGCAGATGAAAGGCCCTTACCTTTATAAAAGGCAAAGGGACAGCAATGGGGACTTCTAATCTGGGTTTCACACAGCACTTGTGGCCGCTCTAAGCCTTGAGTCATCAAATAAAAGGAGGCCATCTCTCCCCTCCTTACTGTATTGTATAGAAGGACTGGCTTAGGCACCTGCCTCTAAGAGAAGGTTATTGCTGGAAAACTTTGAAAAGCTAGGGCATAGCCCTTCAGGCCAAAATGACGATGCAGAGAGAGCTTCCTCCCTCTGACTGTTGGACACCAAGCTGCTTTGTCAGTACTGCTGAAAGATAAGGATTATTGTTTGGGGACAACTCCATACTAATAAAGTTGTGTTGCTTTTGAGACCCAGGCTAGTAACTCTTCACAAAGAGCTATGTTAACTCTCAGGTATCTTTGTCATGAATGTCATTGTGTATGTGAACTTTATCTCTTGGCTGGTGTTTTGTTCTGGACAGCTTAGGCAGCTTCCTGCTGAGCACTGTTCTGTGGATCCTGCTTCTAGGTCAGTAACTCCCTTTATGTATTATGTGGAACTTCGAGACTGTGGAGTCTGTTAGATAGCCTAGTCAACATTAGAAAACGCCTCTACGTAATAACACTGCACTGATCTTGTATTAATGATCCAAATGGTCCTTTCATTTTCTGACTTTTAGCACTTTTACAACTGTCTAGTACTTCTGCCAAAGATTTTCTGCAGTTTACAATGCCTAATGTTTACGACTAGGCTATGGGAGAGGAATCAGTCTAATTCCAAAGGGATCAAGAGATCCCTTTTGGATCTTCTGGAAACTTTTACACAAGCCAGTGTATCTTTTATTTCTGTTTGTTCCTTTTCAACTCATTTAGGCTTTGTGCCAGTTTTTAATAATGATTTTCAACATAAAAATCTAAAAATTCTTTACAAAGGTGATCACTATCACTGACCACAGTGACTGGGATAGATAGTCACTTTCCTACCTGTAAAATCAGTATTTATTCAGACTTCTCTCCTGTCTTCCTGACTGTGCAGTTGTTCAACATTAGTTAAAGTATAGGTACAGAGGGATAAATTCCCTAATTACACCCTTTTCTGTGCAGAAAAGAAGTTAAGAGGAAGAAGGGAAAAAATATCCATCTTCTAACACTTCATAAGCAGTGGACCTAGTAAGAAGTATACTGATAAGAACTTTTTCATGACATTGCACAGAGAAAGTTTAGACTGACGTAAGCCTTAAAATCAAAGGCAGTCTAACTGTTGAGTAGAAAGGAAATAATGATTTTGATTTTTATTTATTTTAAAATATTGCACGTTTTCATTTTAATATTCTGACATTCCTTACATCTGTATGCCCTGATATGTAACTCAGTTACCCCAACGGCTAACTGTTGTAAGGGGCATTTACAGTGCCTTTCTTCAGATATAATACCTGGTTTTATTCAATAATAATAAAAAATACATTTACATAGGTATCCAAATTTTATTTTTCCTCTTTTTCTGTTGACATACATCTAAGCACAACAGGTGACACAGATTTATTGAAAATCCAGATAGATAGCCACCTCTCCATTATCCTCTGTTCATCTCACCAGCTTAAAGAGCTGTAATAGTTTATATATGAAAGTTTTCCCTTTTAGGAAATACAGAGGATATCCTTCGCTGTGTGTCTGTAGTATGCTTAAGATCATGACCTAGATGCGAAACGGTTCTGTGATGGAAGCACTAACAAAAATAGTCAAATAAAGTTTCCTCATTTCAGCCATCATGGTAGTTTTGTGGATAATTCAAGGATAATTCATTGATACAATGTTTTGTTTAACAGGTTCTGCTTTAGATTTGCATTTTAATGATGTGAACGTCGCATCCATAGATAGAGAATTAGAAGATCAAGAAGGCAGTGACCTTGGATTAGCAAGTAAGAGGTCCAATTTGTAAAATTATACTCATTTAAAATATCCTTCTTTCTTACCTTTGTAAACTTTTACTCGTCAAAATAGTTACAGACGGCAAAGACTTTGAAGTCCTCAGTTTTGTTCCAGCTGTTTAACTTTGTGGTGTAAAGAGATTGCACTGCTATCATCCTGTCTGTATTTTGCAAGGGACCAGTCTATTAAACGTTTTTTGGTGGTTTTTTTTAACATGCTTAATGACTTGGGCCCATGGGCATAATAGTTGATGGAAGGACTTGCATGCATTTACAAGAAGGCATGATGCTTGAGCTTGACTGCCTGCATATTGAGTGCTGCAAATGTCTGACAGCAGGCAGTATGTGCTGTGGGGACCGAAAAGTACTTCCGTGGTTAGGTGGTCGCTGAGAGGGGGAGTGGCGACAATTCTTGAGGAGAAGGAGCTAGCAACATTTAGGACTTTAGTACTTGCAAGTTAGGGATTTAATCTTTCTATCAATCTAGCCTGGAAGGAGGAATTTAGTTGAAGGTCTGTTGGGAAGTATTGAGCCATTTGGCCTCTTCTGGGAAAGGAGAGGAGAGGAAGACGTAGCAAAGGAGAGCAGTGCAGGGAAGAGACAGCAGGGAGGAAGGATGAAGGGGAGAACATTAAGAAATTAAAATGCCACCTTTTCTTTCTGAAAGTAGAAAAGGGAAAATAATCGAGAGAAAAAGAAAAATAGGAAGTGAAAACTGAGGAACTATAATTTCATTATCATATTCCTCTGAGAGTCATAGAGCAAGATAACAGACGTTTTTATAATACTTTCATTTATTTTCTGATATCTGTTTTGCTAGCGTTTCTTTGAAGGAGGTCCACAGTGATTATTAAGTTGGTTGTGCATATGTGTTAAGCTTCCACTTGTGCAAACAAAACTGTATTCTTGGATTGCAAATGTGTTCCTGCCATGTCCTTCTTGCCCTTTGGCTCTAGACGCAAAGGGTAAAACAACTATAGCTGCGCCCCAGTTTATTATTGCTGACTGTTGCTCGAAGAAGAAAAGCTTGCACTTAGTGTCTCTATACATTATGCAATTTTTCTTTCTTTAAGATAATTATTATCTCTTCAGTGCACTGGCTTTAACAGATATTACAGAATTTAACAGAATATACAGATATGTCCGGGTTTCAGCTGGGATAGAGTTAATTTTCTTCCTAGTAGCTGGTATAGTGCTGTGTTTTGGATTTAGTATGAGAATATTGTTGATAACACACTGATGTTTTAGTTGTTGCTAAGTAGTGCTTATACTAAGTCAAGGACCTTTCAGCTTCCCATGCTCTGCCAGGTGCACAAGAAGCTGGGAGGGAGTATAGCC